AAGAAGTTGGCTGAACAGACTGCATTCACACTGAGATATCTTTGGATGGTTGAGGGGGAACGCAGAGGCAGGGATCAGCAACTAGGAAAATAAAATCGCAAATCCCAGGACCAGTGACTTCAGCAAGGTTCCATCTCTCAAAAGATCCATAACCTCCCAAACAGAGCCATCAGACGGCAACCAAGTGTTCAGACACAGGCATCTGGAGCGGATTCATTGTCGGCCACAGAAGTTCTCATGGACTTACATGAGCGCTGGAAAACCGAAGGCAGAGGTCTCAGAAGAGCATCTCCCACATGAACCTGGGATCCACATCATCCTCCGCTCTTCTCAGTCTCCCATAACCTGCAACAGAGTAGGAACATCAGAGGTGCACTGAGTGGTCCATGGGGCAGTGGGATGTTAGGAGCAGTGGTGACCACAAGGTAGACGCTTATACACCCAAAATAGTGCGCTGTTCGTTTGCTACACTCTGCCCAGTTCCCGGGCTCTCCCTTCGCACTGCAACAGAAAACAAGCTGCAGCTTTCCCTTCTCCACTGTCCACACCTCCTGTGGATTAACACCAGCAAGCATCCCCCGCACCTGCCCCTTTAACACACAAGTCAAGCAGAGCAGTAAAACAGACAACACACACCCACCACACTCCTAAAATATATCAAGGAAAGAGAAACCAAGGAACAAAACACCCCTGCAACCCAGACAAACTCAGAAATCATCCCCAAACCTGATACCTAGGTGGCAGCATAAGAACAGAATCAAGGGTTGTGGCAGTGCGATCGTCCATGCTGTAACGGTTGTCATCTAGGAGAGGCTGGAGCGGCAGTGGCGGCTGAGAAGGGCGCGAGGCGATGCCAACTGACACTGGCGGTAGGGGGGTTGCAGAGGCAGCAGAGCAGCAAGTTGGACTCGTGGACATGCACTGCTGCAGTGCCGCTATGGTGACTGAGGAGAGAGGGTTCTCAGCGCTCCAGCCTCCTTCGACCTTCAATGCTCAGTCCCCAGCTCGCCAGCGTTTTTTGTTGGAATATACTTTGCAAATTCATGGTAATTCTGAGTGTGAGGGCAGACTTCTGCCCAGTTCAACACAGGATTTTCGCTGACAAGTGAGCTCGGCACATATATGTGTCATAGCTAACATTTCCTTGAAGACTCTGGACTCTGAGAATGGCCTCAGAAGTGGTAGGCGGTTTTTTTTTTTTTTCTTACAAGCAAATTTCTTTTAATGACTCCAGTAAAATTAAGCATCATGTAAACAAATGTTTCACCCTTTTAACTTGTGTCAGTATTGCCTAAATGTAGTTTAAAGGCTGCTTAAATTTTGTATATTGTTGGATTTTTTTTTTTTTTGAGGCTGAAAGTATCCATCTGCAGACATTGAGACCCTAGTTGGATTTGGATTGTTGAAGTGGATTCTGAATACTTCTGCCTGTGTTGAAGAGACAAGCTTTGTAAGGAGTAAACAAGTTGAACAGAGAAAACAGTGACCAATAGTAGGCATTTTAAGGTCTTTTTAATGTTTTGTGCTGAGAAACATTTCAAGATTTATTGAAGCCCCCCACCCCATTTTTCCTACTACGCTCACACACGCACACTCACACTTTTTACTTGCCATAATGAACGTCCAGCCTCTGTGGAGATCTCTTATGAGAACATGCACTTTCTGATAACTCACAACCTCACCAAGGCTATTCTCAACAAATTCACAGAACTTCAGAAGCATGGAGTGACCACTTTGGTTCGAGTTTGGGGTGCTCCCCATGATAAAGCTGCAGGTGAAAAGAAAGAATCCATGTTCTAGATTGGCCATTTGATGATGGTGCTCGGCCACTCAATCAAACAGTAGATTTTGGGCTAAACCTGATAAAGCCAAGTGTGGTGAAGAGTCAGGTTGCTGTGCTGCAGTGCTTTGGGTGGCAGGGTTGGGAGGGGCCCCTGTGCTAGTGGCACTTGCATTGATGTGGGATGCAGTGTGATAATTGTCTTTCTGGATCTGGAATACCTCAATCAAAATGATGTTTTCTAGCTCCATCCATTTGCCTGCAAAATTCAAAATATCGCTACTTTTTTCTGCTGTGTAGTACTCCATTTTGAGGTTTCATCTTACACATGTAAGAATGGCCAAGATCAAAACAACTGATGACAACTCATGCTGAAGAGGTTGTGGGGGTAAAGGGAACACTTCTCCATTGCTGGTGGGAGTGCAAGCTCGTACAGTCCCTTTGGATGTCAGTGTAGCGATTTCTCAGAAAATCAGGAAACAACCTTCCTCAATACCTAGTAATACCACTTTTGGGTATATATCTAAAGAATTATCAATTGTGCCATAAAGACATGTGCTCAACTATGTTCAAAGAAGCTTTGATTGTCATAGCCACAACCGGGAAACAACCTAAATGTCCCTCAACTGAAGAATGGATAAGGAAAATGTGATATATTTGCACAACGGTGTCATTCCACTTTCTATTCCTCTTTAGAGCTGGAACTAAGGGCGTACACCACCACCACCAAGCCCCTATGATTAACTACTTTGGTTCCTGGGATTAAAGGTGTGTGCCACCACTGCCTGGCCTGTATGGCTGACTAGTGTGGCTGTTTTGCATTGTGATCTTCAGGCAAGCTTTATTTATTAAAATAGAAGTGAAAGTCACTATATCTCCCTCTATCCCTCTCTCTCCCCCATCTCTCCTCCTGTACTCAGTCTATGGAAACACCCATCGCTATAGATCTTTCGGGTCTGCCATTGCAAAGTGGTCAAGGACTGGAGACAGGAGGTATGAGAAGTCAGCAGAGAAGAAGGAATGTCGGTTGTCACTAACCTCTAACTTGAGTTCATCACTTCCATCAGGAGAACAGACATCAAAGCACATCAGCAGTAGTATGTGTCTCTTATCCCCAGGGAGCACAGGCAGTCCCATTACAGACACTTTAGAACACACTCGTATATATGTGTACACTGCTCAGATGTTATGTATAACCCAGACCTTTAATCCTTCAGGATATTCATAAACTGCGCTTCCTTTGAAATCTTACATATTTTACCTTGTGCATTCTCCAGAATACAAAAGATGCTGAGTCTGCACAGTACTGTTTGTGTCTATTGACGTGGATCGTGATTACATAGTCTTACAAATCTGGTAACGGTCTAAGGTTTTGCCAGACCCTCATCCTGGGTTCCACTCTGACCATTGACTGGAGTAAGTGGCAGGTGATGGCTTGGGCCTAGATGAGAAGTTCCCTTGGCCTAGAACAATCCTATCCACATACTTGACAGCATGCCATCCCAATGGCATACAGAGCGATGTTCTTTGAGGTTGATTTACAATAACTGAAGAGGAGTCTGTGGAGGCTGCTACCATCTTCTGATACTTTAGTAACAGAACCTTCAGAGCATCTAGTCTGAGCCATTGAGCCCTGCTGCTGGGGGTCATGGTGTAACCAGGTGGCGGAGTGTTTAAGTGCTGGAGTGCAAGTCAGAGGTTGTGCTCCAATTCAACAATAAATGCCATATTTTTAAAGACCAAACTCTTCAAATATAATGTGTGAACAAAGAAACAATTATTTACCCAAATCATGTCACGGACATAATAAAGCTCTCTATCAAGTCCTCATTTTGTTTTGAGTAAGGAAAGGGTTCTGTGGAACAAGAAGGCTGGGGTGAGGGTGGACACAGCAGGGTGGGAAGGCGTTCCCAGAGAACTCAGAGGCAAACAGCAGGATGCTACTGCCTTCACATCCCAGTGACTTGCTGCCCTAGGCCCAGTTGTCAAAATCCAGTCATATTATTTCCCCTAAATTCTCTCACCGTGGAAGGAATAGGTTCAGCAAACTAATGCATAAGGTTTAATGTTTATGTTAGGTTCGTTTGTGCATTCTGGGGCCTTCTGTTATTCCTAACACCACAGAATCCTGGAGTCCCCCCTCAGTACCCGACTGCTGCTGTAGAATAGAGGGCAGAGGGTTGGCCTAGTTACCATTTTCAGCCTAGAGAGCAAAAGCGGAGTAGCATGAGAATTTACCAAGAGGGACGGTTTCCCGTCAACTTAAGACTCTTTTTTGGGACTGGTTCCTCTGAACTCAAAGACTCAAAATATTTTACAGCTCTGGCGTTCTGTACCATTCTTCCCGGACATCTAAGGCTGGCAGCCCTGGTCTCACAGCCCAGGATCTTGATGTCACGCCCACATCTGTCAGATCCTAGATGGATCTCGGATCCCTAGAGGGAACTCAGGCTTCAACCCAGACCAACTTGAATTCTTTGGACATCCTACTTCACATTTTGGAACGTCAGCTCCTCTACTGAAAACAGAAACAATTTATAAACAGTACATTCCCTGGCTTCCAAAAAAAAAAAAACAAAAACAAAACAAAACAAAACAAAAAAACCCTCTAAGTTCATTTGGGGATCCCAGTCAAACCCAGGAGTCTCGCTGCACGCGTCGGCCCGGCCGGGAGAGGGCAGCAGACTCCAGCCCTGAGCTCCTGGGACCCAGGAATCCCGGGTGACAAGCAAGTTCCCAGGGTCTCGGTTCCCGCAGCCCTACAGCAGCTCTCCGCTTCTGGGCATCGGAAAGCAGGAGGGTGTGGGATCAGGGACGACGGGTTGCAGCAGCTCCGGGGAGGGCGCCTCTTTTCCCACTAAGGTAGTAATCGGTGAAGGAATGCGCAGGCTCGGAAACTGCTTCCGGGATGAAGTACCGCGCTTGCGCATCCCCGCCTTTTTCCTTCTCCAGCTGCAGCAGCGGCTCAGGGCTGCAGGTGAGCCATGCATCCATCTCGTAAATGGAAGTTTCCTTGCAACTGGGGGAATAAACGGGTCTTTGGGGAGCATGCGCCCTCTCCTTCAATCTCTCAATCTCTGCACGAAGAAAAACTTCAGAGGGCCTGTGGAAGGAGAGATGGAGGCTGCCCTTCCAGAGATCTCTCCTGTCCTCATGCTGTCGATTTCCTGAATTCTGCCTTCTTGGGACCCTAAGTATAGCACTTATTTTACCTTCTGCCTCCCCAGGGGTGGGGTATGGTGGTCAGTATAGTTCAGCCAAACTTCTTTCAAAAATGACTTTCATGCCTGCATAGCTCAAGGTAGGCAGTGGTTTTGTTTTTATGGGAAAACGCTTTGTGTATATTTATGTACAGATCTCATAGTGGCCAGGCCTTGGAGAACTTGATACTGGGCAAGGGAGGGATTTGTCCTTTGGCTTTGTTTGCCGAGCAGTAAACCATTTAGGTGCATTGCGTCCAGGATGCTCTTTGGCCTTATATCAGTACCTAGCCTCCTCTCTGTTTCAGGAACATGCAGTGAACGTGCCTCCGTCTTCCAGCCACACCCCATTCCTTTCCTGTTCCTACAGCCTCTGCCTTAATGCTTGGTTGTGGTGGGGACAAGTGGCCTCTGCCATGGGGAAGAAGCAAGAAATATGATTGACATGTGTGCATTTTCTCAGTGTGCATAGGTTGGGAATGAATTTCCTTTAGCCTTCGTTAGGGCAATGATGAGTTCTGTGTGGAAATGAAGGAACTGTTGGATTCCCGACAGTGGGGGGGGGGGGGCACTGCATGTGATAATTTCAGCACATTGTGTGTTCGAGCCATCCAGTCATTCATTCATTCATGGCAGGTCAGCAATGGACGCAAGTGTGGCTTTGCCCTCTGAGAACTTCACTGACCTAGAAAAGAGAATTGGACAAGCACCACACCATAGGCGGTTTTATACCAAATTAAAGGATTTATGTCTAAGAGAGGATCACAGGAGCAGATTTGGGGTGCTCAGGAAGAAGATGAATCTACTTTTCACACCTGAAAAAAACTAAGTCCGTAATATTATCCAATGATAAAGGAGCTGTCTTTTCAGCTCCAGATATCTAAATCAGAATGTCTTCCTGGCTGTTGGACACCTCGGCCTATATTCCAAATGCCCGCACCTCACACACATTTGCTACTGCCCCAGGGCTCTGACTCAGGGACAAGCATCAAGGCTTCCCACCCCCACATCTCCGAGAGGTCCAGGCCAGAGATCTGTAGGAGCCACCCTTGCAGCTTCCCTGCCTTTCTGGCCCCGCCTCCAGTTCGCCAGTTCTAACCGCTGGATCTCTCAAGTTCATCCACGTTTCTCCACCGCCCTTCTCGTTTCTGCAGGGTGAATCACTCTCATCGACTGATTAGTTTACTGCATCAGCTCCTAACGTATGCCCCTGCCTTTCTTAGGTTCCACTACCACAGCTAGGAAACACAGGATAGACTTTCAGTCAGATTGCAAGGCTTTGCTCATTTAACCCTTCACCGGCCTTAGGACAGGAGCCACAGACGCCCATTGCAGGGCTGCTGAGTGCAGGGTGAGATTTCTGAATAGGTGCACTTCTCACGGTCCATTTGTTTCCATTTTTAAGATTTGCTTTATTACTTATGTGAGTCTCTGGGTGAGTTTGTGCGCATGAGTGTACTTGCCCTCGGAGTTCAAAGGAGGTCATTAGATCCCCTGGACCTAGGGTTACAGGCAGCTGTGAGCTGCCCACCCGTGGGTGCTGGAAACAGAGCTCAGGTTCTTTGCCAAGCGATCCCCAACCTTCCTCCACCCTCTGAATTTCATCTTATTTGCAAGCAAGCCTTCGGTCCCCACTCCCGGAAGCCTTTGCACGCGTTCATTCACCCGCCTGGAACACTTGCTCGCTGTGCTTATTCCTGCTTTCCTGCAAGATCTCAGCTGGGACCTTGCCTCTCCTGGACATCCTTCCTTGGGCTCCAGTGCCCACCAGATGCCTGACATCCCGGGCTCCTCACCATCGGCTTTTCACTGCTCTGTTGTACTGTCCACAAGCTTGTGTCCCCAACCTTTCCGAAACTGCTTCCTACTTTCTACAGAGATAATAAATACTTGTTGAAAGGGAAGGAGTTTAAATATGCTTTATTGAATGTCCACATGACAGTTGGTCTCTTGTGTACTGAAACAATAATGACCCTTAAAAATAGGAGTAAAAATGAAAGAATACTATTACTACAAGCTAATATTTGTTTCAAAATATACTTTTATTTTTAATTGGCACATAATAGTTGTACACATTTATGGGATAGACTATGGCATTTCAATATCATATATTTAATGTTTTATCAACAGTTTAGAGCAATTGGCATAGCTATTACCTCAGATATTTATTATTTTATGCTGGGACAATCCAGAATAGTCCTGTATACTAGCTATTGAGGAATCTGTGGCCAACCACAGCTATTTCACTGTACTGAAGGATATTCCAAGCTGTTTCTCCTTGACAGCTACACTCTGTACTGCTAACCTCTCCCTCCCGACTCCATTCCCAAGCTCTGGTAACTTCTTAGCTTCCACATATAAGTGAGAACACACGGATTTGTCTTTCTGTGCTTAGAACAGCTAATATGCATTGAATGCTCAGTGTGTGCCAGGGACTATTCAGGAGGTTGAATTCATTTTTTTAAGTAGCCATGGGAGCTAGACGATTCTAGTTTCCTTCTGTGCAAATGGACAGATGGGATTACAGAGCAGTTGAGGATGCACCTGACTTTACACAGCCTGTAAGTCTTGGGATCAGCTTGATGCCCATGTGTGTGGTCCAGTGTGGCTCATCCCTACATAGTGCTAGGGAGGACTCACTGTGCGCTGTGCACAGGGCAGAAAGGCGTGAGTCACCAGGTGGTTGATGCGCTGTGCTCACAGGTGTGGGGCCATTCAGGATCAGAATCTATGGGGGAGAACTCTGAAGCGCATCCCTTCCTCTGCCTTCACCTTGTTCAGCCCAGTGACTCAGTTCTTAGGGATGCTATGGCATTGTTTCCAACACCAAGACATCCGTGGGCCCCAAATCTTGGCTCTGTGTGGTTTGGACATTGCTTGCCTTCCCTGTGCCTGTTTCCCCACTTGAGAAATACATGGTAGCACTTCCCTCCTAAATCCTCACAGTGATTGACTGGGATGCTGTGGAATCAAATACTAGTCACTCAGAATTGTATTTCCCATTGCCCCTCTAACTGTTTCTTTTTAAGTTTTCCATTTGTTTATTTGTTTAGTTTTTAAAAGTTTAATTGGTTATGTATTCTCCACTCCCACATGGCAGTTCATGCAGCACTGGATGGCCTAGAACACATGGTGCAGTTCAGGCTCGCTTCAAACTCACATTGATCCTGCCTGGGATTTAAGGCATATGCCACTACACCCCAGCCAGTACCATCCACACACAGTGTGTGTGTGTGTGTGTGTGTGTGTGTGTGTGTGTGTGTGTATGTGTGTGTGTGTGTATTTCAGCACTGTGCTTATACATTCCTTGTTTTTATTTTTTTTCCACATCACAATTCTTCTCTAGTTTTCTGGGTTCTTTTTCTTTTTTTCTTTTCTTTTTTTAATGTTTTTGGTTATTTTGCCTGTATGCATGTCTGGAGTCCGAGGAAATTCCTGGTGCCCATGGAGGCTAGAGGAGTGTTCCTGAGCCCCTATAACTAGAGTTACAGGTAGTTATGAGCTGCCCTGTAGGTGCTGGGAATTGAACCCCAGCATTATGGAAGAGTAGGCTGTGCTCTTAATCACCGAGCTGTTTCCTGCCCCTCCTATTATATCTTATCTCTTTTTCAGGTATCAAATGTTTTTTTAATGCAGGTCCTTCCTGTAAGTTTTGCATCTTGGGTACAGATGACATCTACTGGATTAGTTCTTCATGTCAGTGTGGGAGTTCTTTCCGTGCTGCCTCCTTTACTGTGACTCTGTGTGTGTGTGTGTCCATGTGTGCATGGTTGTGTGTGTGCGTGTGTGTGTGTGTGTGTGTGTGTGTGTGTGTGTGTGTATTTGGTTTTTTGAGGCAAAATCTCATGCTATAGCCTGACTGGCCAGGATCCCACTGTAGTGAGGTTGGTCTTGAACTCTTGGAAATCCTCCTGAACCAGCCTCCTGGACACTGAGATTACAGGTGTGAGCTGCTACATTTGGTTTACAGGGCACTAAGTGACTCTGAGAGGAATTTCACACCTATCCTATTCTGAGTTAGTCTCACAGAACTGGTTCATCTGAAGGAACACACAGGTGAGCCAGGGATACAGCTGCGTAGTAAAGCAGTATGTGAAGACCTGGATTAGCTCTCCCATTAGAATACATATGTTCTTACATATGTACACACAGACAAATGCACAGGAAACCTCAAACACCATTACCACATTCATATTTACCAACATCAGTATTTTTCCTATGGACAAATAGAAATAAAAATTTTAAAAATATAAAAATGTAAAGATCCCGTGGCTAGATAAGTCCTAGGTCCTAGGAAGAGCCTACTGCTATTACTCTGCTGAATGGGAACTGTGTGACAATGACTCCTCATAGCTTATTGCTGTGCCCATAGATTAGTGCGGGTTGCAGTCCTCATCAGAGAAACTCCCTGCAGTAGTCAGGGATTAACACAGAGACTCCCAGTTGGTCACCATCCCGAGGATATGTGACCTGTGCTAAGCACTGAATGGGCTGCCTGTCGTACCCCTCCCTGCAGACTCAGGCATTCAGGAAGAAGGGGTGGAGAGACTGTGGGAGCAAGAGGTTGTAGATGCTGACAGTGTTCTCTAGACACAGCAGGACGCTTGTGAACTCACACCGATTCTCACAGCGTGCACAAGGCCACAGCAGGGCGCGTGTGAACTCACATCGATTCTCACAGTGTGCACAAGGCCCGTGCAAGCTCCAGCCCGACAAATCCCAGCATGGAGATGGGGAGATGGACACAAGTCCAATGTCACCTGAGGAGCTCTTAGCATTTGGTTGTTGTGTTGGAGGGAGGGTCAGTTTCCTAAGTGGATGACGCCCTGGCAGGTCTGACACTGTCTAGGCTTCACACCCAAGAGCATTTTAGAAACACAAATTGGACTTTGTGGGAAAGAAAGAGAAAGCACAAAGTGTGGTGGATCTGGGAAGATTTGGGGGAGGTAAGAGAAGGTTAAAAATACATTATATGGAATTCTCAAAGAAATAATAAAAATATTATTTAAAAAGTCAATAGTCAATGTAAACTTTAAGCAGCTGAAGAACTACATCTCATCTACATCCCTCACTTTGGGGACATGGGGAGATGAAGGGGCCTGACCTATGGATCCACAGCCACTTAGAGCAGTGGATCTCGACCTTCCCAATGCTGAGACCTTTAGTACAGTTCCTTATCTTGTGGGGACCCCAATGCTCCTATTATATTCATTGCTGTTCTGTAACTGTAATTTTCTGCTGTTGTGAATCATAATGTAAATATCTGATATGGAGATGATCTTAGGTGACCATGTCAAAGGGTCACCCGACCCCCAAAAGCATTACAGCCCACAGGTTGGGAACCTCTGAGCTAGAGGCTGATTCCTTATCCCCTGGGGCCATCTCTCTTCTGTTGCATCTTGGGAGATTGAGGACAGGGTTTCACTGGAACTTCTCCCCATCACTGAGGGTGCGGTACTGGTCCCAGGATTCACAGGACAATGAATTTTGGGGGAGGGCATTAGAATGCACAGATTTACTATTGGCTACAAGTGGATGATTTGGCCGCTGGGATGTTGGTAACAAAGTACATGGTCAGAGTGAACCCTCATTTAGAGGAGGCAGAAGCCACCACTGCAGAGCTCTGTATAGACAAAGTCCCAAGATTCGGTGAAGAAGTAATTGATAGTAGAGGCCGGGGAGAAGGTGCGGAGGACGATGGGCACAGGTGTTGGTTGTGTCTCATGTTGCAAGGGAAAAAGGCCTTGCAGGCCTGGAGTCGAGGAGGAGTGGTGATGTCTAGACTTCTGACCAGAGCAGAAGTCTCATTTAGAAATGAAACAGCTGAGGATTTAGCTGGTCTTGAAGAGGGCAACACAGAATGAGCCAGCGTGTCCCCACTGCAGATGCGTGTTTGGAATGATGAGATGGGGGAGAGTAGCTGAGTGGTACAAGAGAGAAGGTAGAACTTCCTTTCTGTGGTGGGCCAGAGAAATCCCATTTGAGGGATACCTATCATGGGTATATACATTTCTTCTCCAGAACGCTATATAATATGCCCCTCACCCTTTCTTTAGAATTGAATCCTCACCAATGGACCTGGTTGGTTTTGGTTATGCAGCCCTTGTGACAATTGGAAGTATTTTGGGATATAAGCGAAGAGGTAAGCCAAAACTTTCCTGTTGTCCTTCCCTCCGTGTCTTCCTCTCTTCCTCCCTCTCTGCCTCACTTTGGATACAGTGTCCCGTGTAGCACAGGCTGGCTTCACACTTACTACTGATCTGCCAAGTGCTGCACCACCATGTCCTGCCCAAATTCAACAAAGGAGTCGGTGGCTGTAGTGGGGAGTTGATGACTTAAGTACAGCATTGATGGCTGTAATGGGGAGCAGGTAACTCTAGTGGGGTGTCGGTGGCTATAGTGGGGAGTTATGTCTGTAGTGGGGAGCAGTGGCAGAAGTGGTTAGTCGGTGGCTGTAGTCGGGAATTGGTGGCTGTTCTGAGGAGATGGTTGCTGTACAAGGATCTCCTGAATATAAGTGAGTAGCCCAAGGAGCTGTAGATGTTTTTACGGTGACTGAGATTTCAGCAGTTATTTTTCCGTGGGTCCTGTCTGTCCAGTTCATACAGCATAACATTAAGGAATCCAGGGAAGAACAATTTCTGGCCCAAATGGCTAGAAAACTCCATGAGGAGCCTCTTCAATGCCCATCATCCTCTTGAAATAATTGATGTTGCCAGGAGCAGATGTGTCTCATGTCATGAAAACTCCTAAGTTCTTTTTTTTATTGAAAAAAAAATTTCCGCCTTCTCCCAGCCTCCCATTTCCCTCCCCCTCCTCCCACTCCTCTCCCCCTCCCCCTACTCCCCTCCCCCTCCCTCTCCAGTCTGAAGAGCAGTCAGGGTTCCCTGCCCTGTGGAAAGTCCAAAGTCCTCCCCGCTCCATCCTGGTCTAGGAAGGTGAACATCCAAACTGGATAGGCTCCCTCAAAGCCAGAACGTGAAGTAGGATCGAAACCCAGTGCCATTATCCTTGGCTTCTCATCATCCCTCATTGTCCGCCATATTCAGAGAGTCCGGTTATATCCCATGCTTTTTCAGTCACAGTCCAGCTGGCCTTGGTGAGCTCCCAATAGATCAGCTCCACTGTCTCCGTGGGTGGGTGCACCCCTTGTGGTCCTGACTTCTTTGCTCATGTTCTCCCTCCTCCTGCTCCTCATTGGGACATTGGGAGCACAGTCTGGTGCTCCAGTGTGGGTCTCTGTCTCTATCTCCATCCATCGCCAGATGAAGGTTCTATGATGATATGCAAGATATTCATCAGTATGGCTATAGGATAGGGTCATTTCAGGTTCCCTATCCTCAGCTGCCCCAGGAACCAACTGGGGACATCGCCCTGGGCACCTGGGAGCCCCTCTAGGTCCAAGTCTCTTGCCAACGCTACGATAGCTCACTTAATTAAGATATGTGCTTCCCTGCTCCCCTATCCAACCTTCCTTTATCCCAATCATCCCCTTTCCCCAAGTTCCCCCCATCCTCCCTTTCTCACTTTTCTCTCCCCATCTCCCCTTACCCCCCTCCCACACCACCCCAAGATCCCAATTTTTTGCCCAGCAATCTTGTCTACTTCCCATAACCAGGAGGATGGCTATATGGATTTCTTTAGGTTCACCTTCTTATTTAGCTTCTTTAGGATATCAAATTATAGACTCAATGACCTTTATTTATGGCTAGAAACCAATTATGAGTGAGTACATCCCATGTTCATCTTTTTGGGTCTGGGTTACCTCACTCAGGATAGTGTTTTATATTTCCATCCATTTGCATGCAAAATTCGAGAAGTCATTGTTTTTTATCGCAGCATAGTACTCTAATGTGTATATATTCTACACTTTCTTCATCCATTCTTCCATTGAAAGACATCTAGGTTGTTTCCAGGTTCTGGCTATTACAAATAATGCTGCTATGAACATAGTTGAACAAATGCCCTTGTCATATGATTGGGCATCTCTTGGGTATATTCCCAAGAGTGGCATTGCTGGGTCCAGGGGTAGGTTGATCCCGAATTTCCTGAGAAACCGCCACACTGCTTTCCAAAGTAGTTGCACAAGTTTGCATTCCCACCAGCAATGGATGAGGGTACCCCTTCTTCCACAGCCTCTCCAGCAAAGGCAATCATTGGTGTTTTTGATTTTAGCCATTCTGACAAGTGTAAGATGATATCTCAAAGTTGTTTTGATTTGCATTTCCCTGATTGCTAAGGAGGTTGAGCATGACCTTAAGTGTCTTTTGGCCATTTGAACTTCTTCTGTTGAGAATTCTCTGTTCAGATCAGTGCCCCATTTTTTAATTGGGTTAATTAGCATTTTAAAGTCTAGTTTCTTGAGTTCTTTATATATTTTGGAGATCAGACCTTTGTCTGTTGCGGGGTTGGTGAAGATCTTCTTCCAGTCAGTGGGTTGCCTTTTTGTCTTAGTGACAGTGTCCTTTGCTTTACAGAAGCTTCTCAGTTTCCGTAGGTCCCATTTATTCAATGTTGCCCTTAATGTCTGTGCTGCTGGGGTTATACCTAGGAAGCGATCGCCTGTGCCCATATGTTGTAGGGTACTTCCCACTTTCTCTTCTATCAGGTTCAGTGTGTTCAGATTGATATTGAGGTCTTTGATCCATTTGGACTTGAGTTTTGTGCACGGTGATAGATATGGGTCTATTTTCATTCTTCTACAGGTTGACATCCAGTTGTGCCAGAACCATTTGTTGAAAATGCTTTGTTTTTTCCATTGTATACTTTTAGCTCTTTTATCGAAAATCAGGTGTTCATATGTTTGTGGGTTAATGTCAGCGTCTTCTATTCGATTCCATTGGTCGACTTCTCAGTTTTTATGCCAATACCAAACTGTTTTCATTACTGTAGCTCTGTAATAGAGTTTGAAGTCAGGGATGGTAATGCCTCGAGAAGTTCCTTTATTGTATAAGATTGTTTTGGCTATCCTGGGTTTTTTGTTTTTCCATATAAAGTTGATTATTGTCCTCTCAAGATCTGTGAAGAATTTTGATGGGACCTTGATGGGGATTGCATTGAATCTATAAATTGCCTTTAGTAGAATTGGCATTTTTACTATGTTGATCCTCCCAATCCAAGAGCAAGGGAGATCCTTCCATTTTCTGGTATCCTCTTCAATTTCTTTCTTCAATGCCTTAAAGTTCTTGTCAAATAGATCTTTCACGTCCTTGGTTAGAGTTACCCCAAGATATTTTATTCTGTTTGTGGCTATCGTGAAAGGTGATGCTTCTCTGATTTCCATATCCTTTGTGTATAGGAGGGCGACTGATTTTTTTTGGAGTTGATCTTGTATCCGGCCACATTACTAAAGGTGTTTATCAGCTGTAGGAGTTCTTTGGTGGAGTTTTTGGGGTCCCTTATGTACACTATCATATCATCTGCAAATAACAAAAGTTTAACTTCTTCCTTTCCAATTCGAATCCCTTTGATCCCCTTATGTTGTCTTATTGCTATTGCTAAAACTTCAAGCACTATATTGAAGAGGTATGGAGAGAGTGGACAGCATTGTCATGTTCCTGATTTTAGTGGGATGGCTTTGAGTTTCTCTCCGTTTAGTTTGATGTTAGCTGTTGGTTTGCTGTAAATAGCTTTTATTATATTTAGGTATGACCCTTGTATCCCTAATCTCTCCAAGACTTTTATTATAAAGGGATGTTGAATTTTGTCAAAAGCTTTTTCAGCATCTAATGAAATGATCATATGGTTTTTTTCTTTCAGTTTATTTATATGATGGATTACATTGATAGATTTGTGTATGTTGAACCAGCCCTGCATCTCTGGGATGAAGCCTACATGATCATAATGGATAATTTTTCTAATGTGTTCTTCGATACGGTTTGCCAGTATTTTGTTGAGGATTTTTGTGCCGATGTTCATCAGTGAGATTGGCCTGTAATTCTCTTTCTTGGTTGAGTCTTTGTGTGGCTTTTGTATCGAAGTGACTGTAGCTTCATAAAAGGAATTTGGCAATGACTCTTCTGTTTCTATATTGTGAAATACATTAAGGAGTATAGGTATTAGGTCTTCTTGGAAGTTCTAGTAGAATTCCACATTGAAACCATCTGGTCCTGCGCTTTTTTTGGTAGGGAGGTTTTTGATAACAGCTTCTAATTCTTCGCTACTAACAGGTCTATTTAGATCGTTCACCTGGTCCTGGTTTAACTTTGGTATATGGTATTTATCTAAAAAAGTGTCCATTTCTTTTACATTTTCCAGTATTGTGGCATACAGGCTTTTGTAGTAAGATCTAATGATTCTCTGAATTTCCTCTGTGTCTGTGGTTATGTCCCCCTTTTCATTTCTGATATTATTAATTTGCATATTCTCTCTGCCGTTTGATTATTTTGGATAGGGGTTTATCAATCTTGTTGATTTTCTCCAAGAACCAGCTTCTTGTTTCATTGATTCTTTGGATTGTTTTCTGTGTTTCTATTTTGTTGATTTCTGCCCTCAGTTTGATTATTTCCAGTCTTCTACTCCTCCTAGGTGAGTCTGCTTCTTTTTTTCTAGAGCTTTCAGGTGGGCTGTTAAGTCTCCAATGTGAGCTTTCTCTGTTTTCTTTAAGTGGGCACTTAGTGCTATGAACTTTCCTCTTAGGATGGCTTTCATAGTGTCCCATAAGATTGAGTATGTTGTTTCTTTATTTTCATTGAATTCAAGGAAGACTTTAATTTCTTTCTTTATTTCTTCCTTGATCCAGGTTTGGTTTAGTAGTTGACTGTTCAGTTTCCATGAGTTTGTAGGCTTTCTGGGGGTAGCATTGTTGTTGAATTCTAACTTTAATCCATGGTGATCTGATAAGACACAGGAGGTTACGAATATTTTTTTGTAACTGTGGAAGTTTGCTTTGTTACCAAGTATGTGGTGAATTTTCAAGAAGGTTCCATGAGCTGCAGAGAAGAAGGTATATTCTTTCCTATTTGGGTGGAATGTTCTATAGATGTCTGTTAAGTCCATTTGATTCATTACCTCCATTAATTCTCTTATTTCTCTGTTAGGTTTCTGTCTGATTGACCTGTCCATTGGTGAGAGAGGAGTGTTGAAGTCTCCTACTATTAGTGTGTGCGGTTTGATGGCAGCCTTGAGTTTTAGTAATGTTTCTTTTACGTACATGAGTGCTTTTATATTAGGGAAATAGATATTCAGGATTGAGACTTCATCCTGATGAATTGTTCCTGTTATGAGTATAAGATGCCTCTCTCCATCTCTTCTGATTGATTTAAGTTTGAAGTCAACTTTGTTAGAGATTAGTATGGCCACACCTGCTTGTTTCTTAGGTCCATTTGCTTGATAAACTTTTTCCCATCTCTTTACTCTGAGTAGGTGCCTGTCTTTGTGGTTGAGATGTGTTTCTTGTAAACAGCAGAATGTTGGATCCTGTTTTCGTATCCAATCTCTTAGCCTGTGCCTTTTTATAGGTGAGTTGAGTCCATTGACATTAAGTGATATTGATGACCAGTGGTTGTTAACTCCGGTCACTTTTTTAGTAGTAGAGTTTGTGTGTTTCCCTTCTTTGAGTTGTGCTGGTGAAGGGTCTCTAGATGTTTGAGTTATTGTGGTCATTGTTGGACTCCTTGGTTTGTGATTTTCCTTCTATTACTTTCTGTAAGGCTGGATTTGTGGCTACGTATTGTTTAAATTTGTTTTTATCCTGGAAAATTTTGTTTTCTCCATTTATAGTAAACGAAAGCTTGGCTGGGTATAGTAGTCTGGGCTTGCATCCATGTTTTCTTAGTTTCTGAAGTACATCTATCCAGGACCTTCTGGCTTTCATGGTTTTTATAGAGAAGTGAGGTGTAAGTCTGATAGGTTTACCTATATAAGTAACTTGACCTTTTTCTTTTGCAGCTCTTAATATTCTTTCTTTATTCTGTATGTTTTGTGTTTTGATTATTATATGGCGAGGAGATATTTTTTTTGGTCCAGCTTATTCGGTGTTCTGTATGCTTCTTGAACCTTCAAAGGAATATCTTTCTTTAGGTTGGGAAAGTTTTCTTCTATAATTTTATTAAATATATTTTCTGGACCCTTGAGCTGTACTTCTTCTCCTTCTTCTATCCCAATTATTCTTAGGTTTGGTCTTTTTATTGTGTCCCAGAATGTTTTGTGATGAGAATTTGTTGGTTTTGCTGTTTATTTTGATCAGTGTGTTTATTTTCTCTATGGTATCTTCAGTGTCTGACATTCTTTCTTCTATCTCTTGTAATCTGTTGGTAGTACTTGTCTCTGTAGTTCCTGTTCATTTACCCAGATTTTCCATCTCCATCCTTCCCTCGGTTTGTGTTTTCTTCATTACTTTCATTTCATTCTTCAAGTCTTGAACCGCTTCCCTTACCTGTTTGATTGCTTTTTCTTGTTTCTCTTGGTTTTCTTGGGTATCTTTGAGCGATTTATTCATTTCCTCTACCTTTTTGTTTGTAATCTCTAATTGTTTATGGCAGTTTTTCACCTCCTGTTTAAGGTCTTCTATTATTTTCATATAATTAACTTTTGAGTCGATTTCTTCTAATTCTTCTGGAGTAGGGTGTACAATTCTTCTTATTTCGGAATCCCTGGATTCTGGTGATGTCATGTTGCCTTTCAGGTTGTTGGAGGAATTCTTGCATTGGCGCCTTCCCATCTCTTTCTTCAAATGGAGCCAGGAGAGGCCTGGTGTCTTGGTCCAGTCTTTGCTGTGACTGACTCTCTGGGTGTATCTCTTCAGTGTAGAAGCAGGAACTGTCCCGTTCAGATGGAACTCCTCAGCACCAAAACATGGACGCCTGGTAGTCCAATGACCCACAGACAAAAGGGGGAACTTGGGGGGCAGGGCGGGGATGAGTAGAACACAGGAGACCCTGGCGCACAAGCTGAAGGTGCGCATGCTCCCTTTCGGGGGTCCTTGAGGCCTGCCCGGTAGGCAGGCACTCACCACTCTGGGTGGGTAGCCTTAGTGTAGGAGCAGAAAACTGTTCCTGAGCAAAGGACCTTGCAGAAAACGTAGGCTTGGGGGGGGGGGGTCATGTGTAAGAAAGACAGCCCTGCAGAAGGAGCTGGGGGAGGGGGGTTTGTGCTCTCTTCTGGGACAATCCGCCCCTGGATAGCACACACCCATCCAGATGGAACTCCTCAGCACCTAAACAGGGCCACCTGGTAGCCCAATGATCCGGGGACAAAAGGAAGAATGTGGCAGGCAGGGCGGGGTCCAGGAGAGCACAGGAGACCCTGGAGCACAAGCTGAAGGTGCCTGGGCTTCCTTACAGGGGACTTTGAGCCCTGCCGGTAGGCAGGCACTCACCGCTCTGGGTGGGTAGCCTTAGCGTAGGAACTTAAAACTGTTCTTGAGCACTGGTCCTAGCATACAGCAGGGTAGGGTTGGGGGGTGCTGGGGGTGCTGGGTCGCGCATAAGAAAGACAGCCCTGCAGAAGGAGCTGGGGGAGGGGGGTTTGTGCTCTCTTCCAGGACAATTCGCCCCTGGATAGCACACACTCACCCATCCAGATGGAACTCCTCAGCATCTAAACAGGGCCGCCTGGTAGCCCAATGATCTGGGGACCAACTCCTAAGTTCTTAAACACCATATTCTGAAGATCTTTGAAAGAATTGCTATCCATCTGAAATATATCTCTGTACATCTAGAAAACCTAACTAACATGACAGTATTTCAGTTTCTCAGAGAATTGGGAATCAACCTATCTCAGGACCCAGCAATACCACTCTTGGGCATATACTCAAAATATGCTCAACCATACTACAAAAGCATTTGTTTAACTATGTTCATAGCAGCATTATTTGTAATTCCCACTCAACTGAAGAATGGATAAAGAAGATGTGGTATATTTACACATTAGAGTAATACTCAGTGGTAAAAAAAAAAAAAAAACAATGACATCTTGAATTTTGCATGCAAATAAATGGAATTAGAAAACACTATTCTGAGTGAGGTAATCCATACCCAGAAAGATGAATGTGGTATGTACTCACTCATAAGTGGATACTAGCTATAAACAAAGGACATTGAGCCTGTAGTTCATAATCCTAGAGAAGCAAAGTAATAAGGTGAACCCAAAGAAAAACATATATAGACTCACCTGGAAATTGGAAACAGACAAGATTGCCTGACAAAATTGGGAGCATGGGGGTAGAGGGGAGAAGGGATGGTGGAAGGGGAAGAGAAGAGGAAAAGGGCAGGGGTGAGAAGAATTTGAGGGAGTGGGATAGTCAAGATGGAGGAAGGACAGAGATGAGAGCAAGGAAAGAGATATTTTGATTGAAGGAGCTATTATAGGATAGCAGAAATCTGACTCTAGAGAAATTCCCAGGAATCCACAAGGCTGACTCCAGCTAAGACCCTAAGCAATGGAGGAGAGGGGGCCCAATCTTGACTTGCCCTACAGTCAGACTGATTAATATCTTAAATTTCATCATGGAGCCTTCATCCAGAAACTGATGGAGGCAGAGGCAGAGACCCACATGAATTCCTTTCATTTTTCAGGTTCTCTCTCTCTCTCTCTCTCTCTCTCTCTCTCTCTCTTTAGTATTTGCCTCTTTTTTCTTTTCTTTCCTTTTTGCTCTCTTTTTAGGCCAGGTCTCTGTATCTAGCCCTGGCCATCCTGAAACTCTGTATAGACCTCAAAATCATAGAGTTAAAAGGCATGTGCCACAACACCTGGCTATATTCAAAAAGACATATTTTCATTATTTTTAACTGTGTGTATGTGTGGATATGTTTGCATGAAAGCAAGAGCCCTAGGAGGCCATGCAAGAGCAGTGCTTCCTACTAACTGCTGAGTTGTGTATCCAGCTCATGTATCCTCCTCTCTCTCTCCTCCCACAGGTGGCGTTCCATCTTTGATTGCTGGTCTTTCTGTTGGAGTTTTGGCTGGGTATGGAGCCTACCGTGTCTCAAATGACAAACGGGATGTCAAAGTGTCATTGTGTAAGTGATATGTTTTCTGCAGTTACAGAGATTCAACCTGGAAGATGTTACCTTCACACTTTGTACCAGGCGTACTAGGAAATGAACTGTCAAAGTTAAGTGTCCATGAGTCTGTGTCAAGACTGAACATAATTCTTGTTGCTTTCTAGACAGAAACTGATCAAACTGATAGTACTGATGGCCTAACCTTCCACTTCATTTCTTTGCTCTCCCCCGACAGGGTTTCTCTGTGTGATATTCCTAGCTGTCCTGTAACTAGCTCTTGTAGACCAGGCTGGCCTTGAACTCACAGAGTTCTGCCTGCCTCTGCCTCCCTAGTCCTGGGATTAAAAGCATACACCACCACTGCCCGACTTCACCTCATTCTATAACATGTGTCGCAAGAAATTAAATCAGAATTGTTTAGTACACCGATAGCTTGTATGCACAGCTATGCCTTAAGATTCTCTAAAGAACAGTACTTTTACTTGCTGACATAGAGTATTTCTTCCCCTGGGCACAGCAGGAGAATGCCTGTTGTTTAATCCTCGAGGTACCTGGTTTTAGTTTTTTCACTAGCAAACATTGATAATGTTTAAAATTCTAATTCATGGTATTTGGGTTTCAGTTACAGCTTTCTTCCTGGCCACCATAATGGGTGTGAGATTCAAGAGATCCAAGAAAATAATGCCTGCTGGCCTAGTTGCAGGCGTAAGGTGAGAACCTTTCTTCTGATCTGTGCTTTCCTGTACAGTGTTTCAGAGTGATGACAGGCTACAGCAATACCTCCTAAATGTGCCCAGTCTTGCTAACGTGTGGTGAATTTTGTGAAGAATTCATTTTCAATGGCGGTGGAGAGATAGCTCACTTACTGTTCTTGCAGAGGACCAGGTTTGGCTGATGACCTCCTGTAACTCTGGTTCTAAGGGATCCAACTCTCCCTTCTGGCCTCCGTGTGCACCAGTTACATACATATATATGCATGCAGGCAAACCATTATTACACATAAAATAAAAATAATTTAATATTTTTGAAAAGAAATTGATTTTCATGCTGGGGGAAGTGACTCAGCAGTTACAAGCATTTGCTGCATTCCCAGAGGAACTGGATTTGGTTCCCAGAACCCACACTGGGTGTCTTACAGCCACCTGAAACTTTAGGTTCAGGGGATCAAACAATGTCTTCTGGACTTTGTAGGTACACACACACACAAACACACACATACACACACACTGTATTAAATCTTTTAAAGTATTTTTAAAGGAATTTTCATATGAAAGGTCAGATAATTATTACAATATTTTAATTATAACAGACATGAGCCATCATGAATTCAGTCATTCTTTGGTGTGACAACATCCCCCCTCCGATGTGTTTTGTAGCATCCAATCAGATGTACACATTAATCTTTATCAGACTAAAGAGTTAAGTTCCTCCTCAATTTTCCACAATATTTCTCCACTTATAAAATGATTTAGTGACAGTCTGGGTCATTGAATTTCAAAGGGAGATAATTTTTTTTTTAGCTCGTAACCTTAAATTTCTCCTATTTTTGAGCCAGTATATGCATTTCATTTCATTTATTTGTTTATGGTTTGGGTTGGGTGTTTAGTGTATTAGTTACTTTTCTGTCCCTGTTATAAATTATTCTGACAAATCACAACCTAGAGGAGAAGAGGGCTTATGCCAGGGGGGTGTTCTGGAGGGGACACTGTCTATCATGTTGGCGTGTTCCAAAGGATGCTGTTCATCATTCAGCATGTTCCACAGGAGACACTGTCCATCACGTTAGCGTGTTCCACATAGGACGCTGTCCATCATTTCAGGTCAGGCACAGCAGCAACAGGTGAGATGGTCTCGGAATTTGGAAGTGAAGTGACCATATTCTGTGTACACAGAGAGAAAAGGAAGAGGGCCAAGCTAAAAAATCTCAAAGCCCACACCTTGGTAACATACTGCCTTCAGCCAGATTTCTCTTCCTAGAGGTGCCATTGCCTTCCCAAACAGCGCCACCAGCTGGAGACCAAGTGTTCTACATGCTCCTGTGGGGAAGACTTCTCACCCACCGCTGGTTGTTAGTTAGGGACTGCAGCTCTTTCAATGCTGAGGACCGAACCCAGGGCCTGGCACATGCCAGGCAAGCGCTCTGCCACTGAGCTGCATCCCAGCCCTGATCCTGTGGTTCCGTCCATGAACTTAAGCAGATTATCAATTAAAATATAGAGAAAATGTGTCTAATTCTGCCTGGAAGCTGTCCTTGAGTGTTGAAAACCATAAACATTGCCTTCCTTTGGAACACATTTTCATTTCTCAGAAATTATTTCAAAGAAGCATGGAAAGCCTAATGTTTACTCGGACTGTATTTCTAATAGAAAATAGTCAAGCTGAAAATTCACCAGAAAATAAATGTAAATATTTTTGTCTATTTAAGGAATATTAAGCAGGCATTTGTATATCATGATTGAAAACTATTTGCCATCACTGGAAATTAATAATGTCATAATAAGATATACAAACAGGATGAAAACACAGCAAATACAGTTTGACCCAGTGTTTAAAGATGTCTGTGGCAAAAACCAAGACAAAAAGGAAGTACTTCAAAGTATCAGTAGTATTTAGCCCTGGGTTAAAGCCTCCTGAGTAGTTTCCTGCACGTGTGTTGCTGTTGAATTTTCTAGAGTGGCTCTGTAATTCTCTAGTGTGGTGGTTTTTCTTTGGGGGTGGGGGTGCCAAAGGCATCTTTCTAACTGTGTCCCTGACATGAAGATGGTATTTGATGCTGGAAAGGATCAAAGGTGGGAGTTAGTGATGAAGAAAGGATTATGGGCGATTGAATGTACCTGATATTCTTTAAAAAAATACTCCCACTGAATTACTCCTTGTTCCATTTTCCTTTTGTGAATAGATTTGTCTTTTTCTCTTTGTCTGGATATGTATACATGTGCACACACATGAGTGTGTATGTCATGTGTGTGCAGGTGATCACAGAGGCCGGAAAAGGTCATCAGACCCGTTGGGGCTAGAATTTCATGTCATTTATTATTAGGATCACCTGTCATGAATGCAGACTGAGCTCTGGTCCTCTGGAAGAGCAGCCAATGCTCTTAACTGCTGAACCGTCTCTCCAGCACCCTTGACTTTTTTTCCAGTCACTTTCTTGGGTAGCTTTTGGAAGTTTTCATTTCTCCTGACTTTTTTCTCTTAATTCCCCATCCAAGGTTTTCAGAACAGTGGGTTTGATTTCACTCATCTGTTCAGGGAATGTTTTTAAGTTAGAAAATAGGAAAAATAAACTCCCCCTCTGCTCTAAGGAAGGCTATGGAGCTCCCAAAGGCCACAGCATAGGAACAGCATGATAGGGAGTACATGATTGTCCTGTCCATCAGAGTGGCCTTCATCTTTCTTCCTTTTGTATTTATGCAGCCTCGTGATGATCCTGAGACTGGTCCTGCTGTTGCTTTAGCACCCAGAGAAGCCAAGAGCCCACCTCCTATCATTCTACTGTACCCGGCAGAGCAGCTTCTTGCATTCAAAAGATCAGTTTAAATAGGTGGTAAATTTCTTACCCTGAAATGAAAATCTGTTGTCACCCGAAATTTAAAAATTAATTGGCAATATTTGCTTGCCCTCCCCTTTTTCATGTAAAGCACAAGTTTCAGCTGTTTCTTTTTGTTAACCCTGGTCTTTAATGGGTCGTTATGTAGTCATTTGCTTTGTCTCATCTTGTGGGTGGAATTTGGGTGCCCGCTGTTTTCTGCTCTTGAAAGTTCCAAGCTCTTATGGCTCAAATAAGATGAACGGCGACTTGTCATGTCATGTGATGGAGGAAGGTCATTGTTAAAAAAATAAAGAAACTGCTTGGCTGGCCCTCATAGGTTAGAACACAGGTGGGTGGAGAAAACAGAACAGAATGCTGGGAGGAAGAGGAAGTGAGCTCAGACTCGACAGCTCTCCTCTCGGGAGCAGACACCTCAGGGAGACACCATGCCTCTCTCCTGGGCATACACACACAATGAAGCTCCAACCCAGGATGGATGTAGGCTAGAATCTTCCCAGTAAGACCGGTGCTCACAGATTATTAGAGATGGGTTGATCGGGATATCAGAATTAGCCAGTAAGGGCTAGAGCAAAAGGGCCAAGCAGTGTTTAAATGAATACAGTTTGTGTGTTGTTATTTTGGGGCATAAGCTAGCCGGTGGCGGGAGCTGGGTGGCAGAATGCAGCCCCACAGCTCCCACTACAGTCATGGGGTCCCTGGAGTGAACCACAGAATGTTAATGATTTGTATGTCACTTGATACATTAGCGATTTTATTTGTATTGTTGTGAGGGATTTTTGCATGGAAGGAATTCCGTTCTCAACTCATCAGTGTCGTAACAGAATGCATTCAGTATTCAAATAAAATACATTTTATCTTAAGCCTTTTTATTTATTTTTATGCCCTTTACTAGAAACTCAGTCATCTTTGACATTTATATGTTTTATTACTAGTAAAAAGGATGTCAAGGGAGGGTTTGCACCAGCTCTCTGTACTTTGCAGGAGCATCTCCCTCACTTCCACATCCATGTCCTATCACCAGTCCATTTGTTTGTTTTGTTTTGTTTTGTTTTGTTTTGTTTTGGAGACAGGGTTTCTCTGTAGCTTTAGGAGCCTGTCCTGGAACTACCTCTTGTAGAGATCCACCTGCCTCTGTCTCCCTAGTGCTGGGATTAAAGGTGTTCACAACTCCTGCCAGGCCTCACCAGGCCATTTTAAGAACAGGTCTTACTACAAAAGCCTGTACTCCACAAAATTGGAAAATATAAAAGAAATGGACTATTTTTTAGATAAATATCATATACCAAAATTAAATCAAAACCAGGTGAACAATTTAAATAGAGCTCTAAATCACAAGGAAATAGAAGCTGTCACCAAAAACCTCCCAACCAAAAAAAGCCCTGGGCCAGATGGTTTTAGTGCAGAATTCTACCAGAACTTCCAAGAAGAGCTAATACATGTACTCCTTAATGTGTTTCACATAATAGAAACAGAAGAGTCATTGCCACACTCTTTTTATTGAAGCTACAGTTACCCTGACACCAAAACCACACAAAGACTCAACTAAGAAAGAGAATTACAGGCTGGGCGGTGGTGGCACACGCCTTTAATCCCAGCACTCGGAAGGCAGAGGCAGGCGGATCTCTGGGAGTTCGAGGCCAGCCTGGTCTACAAGAGCTAGTTCCAGGACAGGCACCAAAGCTACAGAGAAACCCTGTCTCGAAAAACCAAAAAAGAGAGAGAGAGAGAGAGAGAGAGAGAGAGAGAGAGAGAGATTACAGACCAATCTTGTATCGGCATAAATAAATGCAATGCAGATACTAAAGAATATTCACACTTTAATGATAAACTTACAGAACCGAAGTTCCCGCGTGGCACAGGAGGTAGGAAGGAAAGAGACCAGAGCCGCCTCCCGCGCGCCCATTTATCTGTAGGCATTCGCCCGAGGCAAACCCCGCCCCCTAAAGGGGCTGTCTTAACCCTACATCTCCCCGTTTTGTCTAAATAAGACAGAACTAAACCAAATATAACTATAAACAATAATAACAAATGATAAATATAACAAACAATATTGAGAACAAAAGTTTTGCTAGGCATTCTATCTCAAGGAGTCTAAATAATGTAGAGAGTAACTACTATTAAATAATCTTCAACTCCATCAAAGATCTGAGAAGGGAATAAATATTACTTAACAAATGAGAGATATCCAAAATGTGCAACAAATGACAGAGACAACTGACTACCTGGGCAATCACCCAAAGTCTCGTTTGCAATGTTGAGTCAACCAACTTTGGCTAAGGCCTAACATAACTGACATACCATTATCAAATGCAAGGAACTTTCTTAGAATTATCCTACCCTGTCTTGGCAAGATAAGACAATCCTGTTTCATATATTAGTAGTTGAGGTATGGGTTTTTCTTAACCCAAAGGCCAGTTCTGCCAAGAAGACAAACTCCCAGTGGAGTGTCTTTGGTGCTCAACGTTCTTTCGGGAGTAGAGTGGTGTTGCCAGGAGTAATTGTGTCTCGATGGCACAGAATTCTAGGTTAGATTAAAGGCCATTTTCTACAGCTCTTCAAAGAGGCTGAAGATTATACTATCTATACTAAAAATAATCTCTATGTATCTAAAAGACCTGATTAACCTAAAAATAAATATGACAAACATATAATTCTCAATACCTATCTAATTTGAAACTAAGAGAATAAACAACTGTGCAATATATGAAGACAATGATCTTCACCTGTAAACAATGTCATTACATATCAAAATGTAAACAATGTTATTACATAAATAGTACCAGAGGTAGAAATGTACATTGTGATATGATAGATGTATCCATACAATATAAGTATACTCTTATACAAAAATAGAGGTAGGAACACTCACATTCAATATTCAATATATCAATATACAAGAAACAGTACCAATATAATTTTCTAAAAACAGTAAGTCACAAATACCAATCATCCCATCAAACCAGTTAATCCCCCCCTTTTATATATATATATATATATATATATATATATATATATATATATCCCTAATTCCATACAATATCTCCCCATCCCCTCAACCCTAAGCCATTTTAGAGGCAAGGCTGTTGGTATCTCTGAAGGGACATCAATTGCTTGTTCTTGCATAGCCCTAATGGCCAGTTTTCTCTGTTTGTAATAACTTTTAATATTATTTTTACAAATATAGGCTCTAGAAGTAGCAGGAATGTTAATTTGGGTATTCCATTGTTGTAATAGGTCATGACCCCATAAATTCATTGCAATATTGGCTACATATGGCCTTAATTTTCCTATTTGTCCCTCAGGCCCTATACATTTAACCCATCTTGTGCTCTGCCTTATTCGAGATAGGGTTCCAATTCCCAGGAGCTGAACATTTACATTCTGAAGAGGCCAATATAGATGCCAAGATTCTGGGGTAATGATACTTACATCAGCATCTGTGTCCAGCAGGCCAGTAATAAAAATGTCATTTATACATACTCTCAGCTTAGGTCTTTGATCATTTATAGAAGTTTGCCAAAATACACGTAACTCATCTTTCTGATCATTAGTGTTTGTAACAGTAGGCATGTGGCTTTCTAATTGTCCTGACGAGGCATGTTCTATGTAGAAACTGGAAATGACTGAACCATGTTTGTCATAGGGGCCTGTGAGGCCCCCCCTCTCATGTTTCCCGTCTGTTTCAGATTGCCTTGTCTATCCCTTGTAGACCTGCATTCATTTGTCCAATGCCTGCCTTTTCCACATCTTCTACATAAACCTGAAGGCTGAGTCCTTCTATTTCTGTTATTTTTAGAAGATGCATTATTATTATTTCTGAAAATACGTTGTTTACAATTCCTTTTCATATGACCCATTTTGCCACAATTAAAATATTTGGTATTCTGGTGTCTCCTTTTACCATTGGAAATTGTTTCTTCTACCCATGCTTCAGTGCCATAGTCAAATGTGTCAAGATTTAGTGTATGTAAGACCCATTCTTCCAAGGACGTTGATCTGAACTTTAAAGGCCCCAAGATCTTTTTGCATTCCACATTTGTATTTTTGTAAGCCAAAGACTCAATTATTATACGTCTTGCTTCTGGGTCAGATATCCCTATTTGTACAGCCTTAGTTAACCTTTGTAAAAAGTCACTAAAGGGTTCTCTCTGACCCTGTTTAACTGTGACAAATGATTCCATTCTCTGTCCTGGGTCTTGTACTCTGTCCCAAGCCCTTAAGGCTGCTGTAGTACACATGGAGAGTATGTTTTCATCCAAATTAGCTTGTTCCTGAGGATTGGAAAAGAGCCCTTCACCTAGAATTTTATCTAGGGAAATGTCAATTCCCTTCGCCTTTTCCTGCTGCTCTAAAAGTCTAGCCTCTTGCCTGAATAAGCATTTTCATTTTAATTGCGGTCCACTCTCAAGGACCACGGAGCTCAGCTGGAGCCAGTCCGAGGGGGTTGCTCTGCTTGTTGTGGCCCAAGATTTTAGTATTTCTTTAACAAAAGAGGCGTGCATCCCAAAAGTCATGACGGCCTGTTTAATTTCTTTGAGATTATTTATACGGACAGGCTCCCATGTATCTTCCTTGATGACCCTAGGGTTTCTGGAACCAATCACCTTCTCAGTTGTTATTACTGGAAAGGCATGTAGAGCTATAGGTAGAGCTTTGTGGAAATTGTCCCTAAGGGATTTATCCACAGATGTAGTTAAAATTTGCCTTTCTACACTTTGCTCTTCTTTATTAGAATTTAGAAATTCCTCAATCTTTTTAATTCTATTCATCATTGCTTTTTGTAATGTCTGAATCTCCTGCCCAGAATTATGTTCCAAAGCCTTCATTGAGGATTCTAAAGTATGAAATTTGTCCATTAGAGATAACTTGTCATCTTTGGACATAATTTTTATGGCATAAACCGTGCCTTCTTGTATTGATAATCTTTCCGCCAATCTGTCATAAGCTTTAGACAAAATTCGATTGTCACATTCAGCAGTTTTGATTCTCTCAGTTAATGTTTTAGTTCCTACAGAAAGGGACTGCTGGAACTTACGATCTAATTCAGCTGTTCCTTCTTCTATAGTAATGAATTTCTCCTTAACATCAGCCTGTACCTTTTCTAGATTTTACTCAGTTAACTGAGTCATGTTAAACAAAGATCTGTTTTCTTCCTGGAGAACTTTAAACTGATTCTTGAGAAGATTGTTGTCATTCTCAATAGTTTTTAAATGGTCAACCTCTGCCTTAAGAGATTTGATCATTTTCCTATTATCAAACCAAATAGTGCTAAGGAAAATTAAGAATCCTAGAAATATCCATAGATGTAGGGTGATAGATACCTCTTGTAAGATCTCCCAAATGGTGCACTCAAAAAAGCTGCTGAAATTTGAAATTGTCAC